TTGTTGAGAATCCCCGGCATTGCAACCTTAGAGCAGTTTGTATCCATACCACTTACTTCGTTTCCTTTCACTTGAAGTGCTTCGAAAGAATAAACCCATCTTGTTAAACATTATTATTTTAAATATTATTCCGAACAGCTGGATGCCGTATCGGGACCATTCAGACTGTGAATCACAGCGGCATCAAATCCTATTCAAAACAATTTAGTTTTAAATTATTTTCATTCGAGAATTTGGTATATAAAATAATCTCAGACTTTGGATCCAACATGAACATGAACCGCGAGCCACCCCAACCTGACGCTGGCGAGTCGCTATGGACCGAGCCGTACCGAGGAGCTCCTCTACTTGACTTCGTCGCTACGGGCCGAGCCATACTGGGGAGCGCTCGTCTACGGACGGGGAACTCGGTGGGTGAGCTTGACTTCCCCTCTACGAGTCGAGCCATAATGGAGAGTGCTTCTTTGCTAAAGCTGCGGCTGGTGAAGGATGGTCGCTACAGCTTATCTAAGTGGGAACGATTAGAAGCCCGCAAGGTGTCTAGCACCGATATGGAGCTAGTAGAGAGCGATTTTTTCGACACCGGGAGGATAGCAATTATGGCCGCGTTGTCTATAGTCTTTAAGATCGATGGAGAGCGTATTTCGTGGCCTCGACTGAATTTTTGATTCTTTGGGTTTGGAGTTTACATTGTCTCGCTGGGCCCTCTCACGAAATGGAAGGTAACCGAGTCGTTTTAACGTCGATTGGTCGCTGGATTGGGACTCTAGTAAAACCGAAAGACCTCCGTGGACTCGAGCTGATAAAATACGGCTATACTGAAGCCAGCTTTGCTGATAGATTTTCGACTCCGTTTCATATCCTCGCACAGGCAGGATTTCCGATGGCAGATCTTCGATTTAAGTATAGGATCGCGCTTTGGGAGTGCAGACCAAGGACGTGTCACTTGGAGGGGGCGAGTCAGTGCTGAAAAACTTCTTTGCCGTGCGTGGTATGGGGCTGCACAGGCTAGATCATATCAAAGGCAAAGTTCAAACTGGGCACGAAATGACCGAGTTTTGTGCTTGCGGGCAGGAAAGGCTTCTGAAAAGGTGTTTGAGGTTTGAGAATTGAATCAACGCTAGAGAAGGGATTTCACCAATGAGTGACACAGAGCACCGATCCAAAACACACACGTGGAAGGAAATGTTGCAGAAACGACGGGCGCAGGACTTAAAGTCTGTGAAGCAGCGATGCATGGGGTCCCAAAACTGCACCAACTGAAAAAGGGAGGGTCTCAGTCGATGTCAGTATCATTTCGAGCTGCGTTCAAACCTTCGCTCAAACTTTCGTAAAGCAGGAGCGCCAAGCGAAGAGTATGAATAATAATATTAACGGGTACCACACGTATCGCCTTCAGACGCTCCATACTTGCAGTTGCTGCTACTGCACAATGGATACGCTGATGGCCACAACCGCAGAGTCTGGGCCCTACGACTCCTGTTGGGATTAGTTCCATGGGTGGCATCAATGCATAGAGCCTCTGGAAACTTCCTGACCATCCTCCTCATGTGCGCGGTCTGGAAGGTGATACAACTTGTGAGACTTGCTGCAGAATTACGAAAAACAATTACAGCGTTCCCCGGTCCCCCCCAAAGTCCTGCAACAACTCGTTTACTCAAACGTTGTCATCCGATGAAGTGTACGTCTCGCGACGCACCTTGGCAATCATGTTCTCGACATCCTTCGGTTGAAGCGGCTTGTCAGACACTTCTTTCAAGTATCGTAATTTTTTTGCGTTTCGAACCACCTACAAAAGCTTTAAGAGTCAGAACATACCTCAGTAAACTAAATATCTGTAAAATACATTTTACCTTGCCACATCGTCTTGGCAGCACACTTGATCTCTGGTGATTTGATTTTGCGTGTCTCCGCATAGCATGTGTACTCTTCAGGGTCCACGCTGTGATTAGGAGTCGACTGGTGCTTCGAGATTCGAACAGTGTAGACGCCTTTGTCACGGTTCAGCACAGCATTCAATCGCGCCTTGCAACCAATTCCACGGAGAGTGTAGTTTGTGCAGTCACCTCTGCCCCGCGGCTTGAAGTCCCACCCATGTGGTGACAGATAAACATTCTTGCGTAATACTCGAGGGTGTCGTCGTACAAATCCGGTTCTTTTCGAATTCGAGCAGCACGCTTTTAAGTTTCGCGATTTCGGTCACGCACAGAATTACTCGTCCTCAACCTATACATCTGAGAGATCTCTTATTAGTAGCTACAGAGCGCATTTGGTTGAAAAGTATGGTAAAAAAATACTAGAAGCTAATCTCTTACCGGTCAAACGCCTCTCCAAACTCTTCCCACGATGGAAACTCACCATCGAAGGTAGATAATGCAATCTCGAGCGACGTTCTAGCCCCAGAAACTGCGTTGTCGGTCGTTTGGGGCGGGACAGGCAAAGACGAGGACGGCATGGCAGCTGGAAGCCATGTGTATGGTCGGGGTACTACGATAGAGCTAGGCGGGAGCTGGGAGAGGCGTGAGCGCGTAGTGTAGCTTAGCTAGACAGCGGGGTGAGTCTAACTGCTGCGCGGGGGTCTGCTTTGCAGAAGAATGAGCGGCGCTGGACGGCGTCCAGCGCTGAGCGTTCAGTCTTTTAAAAAAATAATTTTTTAAATACCGAAGTACTGACAGTATCGCGGTTAGGGTAGTTATCGGTATTTCGACCGGTGATCCTTTGATTTTTTACCATTGGATTTGACCCTTTTTCTGACAATTGTTTGGCAGAAACTAAAAATATCTAATAGTAGACTGTGAACGAGTATCTGGATAAAATCTGAATAAATGACGGATAGATTACCGATCGATATTCCAATTCCTGGAATAGCGGAATAAATTTCTGGACGAAAAAAATCGTTTTCCAAAACTGAGTTATTCCAGAAACTAAAGTTTTCTGAACGAAACAAATTCTTATTTCAGAAACTAATGTTCTCTTCACCTACACACCATCTAGGCCTCGATTTCCATTTTCACCTTTTTCTTCTACCGTTTGCGCATAACTCTCGTATTACAGGGCCTGTTTGATAGAGGGTCGGCTGACTCTGGTCACGTACGCGACCGGGAGTTGGGCTCCCGCTGAAGGACAAACTCGACGGCAACAGCTTCTGCGATTAATGCTTTTATGGGTGGCCTCAAGCGATCTTTGCAGGATGCTCGAGCGAAGCCATTCCAGTCGGAGTCGTAGCCATTACATGTACATGTACGTGTACTCGCGCGCTTCAACGTACAGTGCGTTCGCCCGAACGTATTGATACGGTAAATTTTTAATCACTTCAATCACTTGCGTAGCCACTTGAGGATAACGAGACTCGATGGGCGACACTGAAAGCCGGACTACAGAGACAGCAATGCTGCAGAGCACCATGAGCCATTTGCATTGCGCAAGTGCGCCACCGCCTGTGAGGGGATGCTGGAATCCAGCCTGCGGTGATTCAGAATCGATGTGTCCGAAAGATATTCGGCGGCGCCTCCAGTCTGGAAGTTCCAGAAATGAATCTGGAGCTATTCGATAGAAAAAGTACGAGTGGATTCGAGTCGAGTCGCGCGGGTCGCTTTGCCCGGAGGTCTTCGACCGTGCATTTGAATTAAGCACGGACTGTGCTGACCGGCTCGCCTTCGGCACAAATAACTTATCTGCGGCGAAGCCGAGCCGGTTGAGTGCTCTGTGGATCCCGGCTCAGACACATCCGGTGTGCCCCCGCACTCCGCCTTGATCATCGTCCATGCCATCGTGAGCTAACGCGCCTCATCGACGCCGATCCGTCCGCTTTCCATCGGCTGATTAAGCGATCTAGGTCCTGCGAGCAGCGCTGCTACCACCTGCCGCGTGTGTGTAATAAACACATCCGCTGTACTTGATGCCGACACCGGCACACTCCGACTTCATGTACATGTACGCGTATTAGCTCAGCTCGCCGTGGCCGTGTCGATGTTGCGCAGTCCAACTTGACGACGAGAAGATCTGATATCGCTCTAAAGATGGTTTCGATGTCGACCACCATGTTGTCATCCTACCGCTCGTTTTTCTTGAATCAAGCCGCTTGACGAAACCTCTTGAATTAAGTAAAGGGTTGCTTACCGAATAGGCTTGACAACTCCATGTACAGTTCTGTACACTACAGTCGCAAATCGAGGAGCTTTGTGGAAACAAGTACATTGTATTACATGTACTTTACCGGTAAGTAAAACTTTGCCCGAGAGTGGAAGATTCATACTTGAGCGTAAAGGCATCCACTTCAGTAGGTTATTTTTATCAACCCTTGAGAAAAGGCGAAGAGCACAAGGCCGCCTTGAAGGCGTGTGCCATGTTTCTGGCGTCGCGCGAGTCTATGGAGATGTCAGTGTTGCCTACGTCAATCACGAGGGTCCCATCCGAAAAGGTCCCACATGCCGCAGCTATCCTGCACTTTGACTCAGACAGCATTCACCCGCTATTTCCGGTGCATCCGTTTTGCAGGGATCGCACCCTCAGGCAATTTTGCCGCACGTCAGCCTCCGAAACATTATGTCTGCGACTTGTGACGATCCCGCTGAATGCTACGACTAGCATCACAGCTTGATTCTGCGCGGCCGCTTCTTGTCGGATAGTCGCGGGTTTGCGCCAATAGCGGGCTCCGAGGAGAGCCCGCCGCATGCAGTATGGGTACAGTACAACGACCCGCTCCGGCGACTTCTTGCCCGCTCTGGCCAGTGCATGCCTCGGGACTCTGCGCCGCAGCGACAGTCGGACCGACTGTCGGTGACCTGTTGCCAGCGTGGGCATGAGGCAAGGGAGCCGGAAAACTCCATAAGCGTGCTTCCCCAAACCTGCTCTCTGAATCCACCAGTGACAGTGGGCGGTATCAAGGCAGTGTCTCGGCTCTGGCCGTTACCCTTGCGGTTTACACTGGCTGTCTCTATGACTGGCTGGTCCGGAAAATCCACAGTCGGCTCCTGTGGTTGCCTCATTTTCTAAAAGGTCGAGCTCATCGCTACTACATTTTAGCCGCAGTAAGGAGTGCGTACCAGGGCGTTTAGCCCGTAGTGTGAACCATCTCCCAACTTCGTAACATGATGACCGTGCTGCCTATCGCCGACACGACCACGCCCGCCAGCAAGAAGCGGCGCCGCAGCATTGAACCCGTGGACTCTAGCAAGATTCTGGCCATGCCGCTGAGCATGTCGCCGCGTTCGATGGCGTCCAGCCCCGTCCGCGCCGCACTCCAGCAGACCGCTGCAGTCAAGCACGCCAGCCGGAGCGAGGACCTACTGCGCCGCAGCCTCATGGGCCTCTCGTTGCAGCTCAAGCTTAAGATGATTCTCGTGGAAGCCTGGGCCTCGGACATGAACAGCGTCGTAATGGAGCGCAACCTCTTCTCTATTGCCAAGGAGCTCGCTGTTCTGAAAGAGATGGGCGTCTACGAGCAGCACACGTGTGTGCGATTTCTGGAGCTGGCGCGCAACCGCATGGCGCAGCTCCTGGAGCAGACAGAGCGTCACGAAACGCTGCACATGGAAGCCGAGCAGATGTGGACCATGGCGCTCATTCAGGCGCAAGAAGCCGTCGCCACACCGCCCACCAGTCCATCCGCTGTCAGCGAGTTCCCGCTGCTCAGCGGCTTCGATGCCAGCAGCCGCGATATTTCAGTGCTGTGGCGCGCCATGTCCATCGCGCGGGACCGCGGCGCTCAGCTCTGGCACGAGAACAAACCCGAACAGGCGCTGCCCTTTTTGCTGGCCGCTGATTCGTACATGAAGCGCTTTACGCTCAAGTACCAACGCCTCAAAGTGGACCACGCAATGGTAGACACACTTCAGAAGCCGTCTGTTCAGCCCAAGCGCACGCCCTCGCGCGTGTCGTTCGCCGAGGAACCACAGGTCATGGGAATCGCAGATGCCGAGGTGGATCGAACGCCCATCTGCCCGACCAAGCCATCCAAGCTAGAGTCGTTACTACTGCGCACGTCGCGCGAGTTCCCGACGCCCCCATTTTAGATGCCAAATCATTTATCAACTCAGGTCTCAAAGGAAGGCCCACGTACAGTATTCTAGCAAGCTGAGAGTAACTTATGAGCAATTGTTCAGACAAATCATCATCATCAAACCCTGATATGTACTGCCTTCCCTTCTCATTTCCGATAGCTTTCCGTCGTCGTGTCAAGTTTCTTCCAGCACCAGCATGAGCGAGTCGGTTCTTCAGCGTCCCATTCCACATCCTGTCATGCATATCTGGCACTTCTACTCATGTGAGCTGGAAACCATGTGCGCGTAACACTCGCCATGCGAGGACAAGGTTGTGCAGCAGTGTGTACAGTATTATCTGCCCTTATCTACCGGTATTGTGCATGCCTTGGTCGTAAAATACGACGCGTAATCGACGAGGGCTGTAGTGCTCCTGCCAGAAGCCTTCTGGGGCACTTCGCGTGTAAGTAATAACTTGCTCGACGCCTCACGCCTTCAACCTCCCGCTCGTTGTCACGAGGCACTGCCTCGGAGGCAGTCGTGCGCTTTCATTGCATAAGTGTCCATTCCGACCTGCCTGTCCATCTCCTTTTTCGTCCAACAAGTGCTGCTCCTTGTCTATAGCTCGTCTGCTTAGGCCTTGAGCTTCCAGAGTTTCAGCTTGAAGCCGAAAAAGTCGGACGCTGTGGACGAGAAGGCCGACAAGACCACCACGCGCGTGAGGTTGTACAGAAGCGGGTTCATAGTCAAGCCAGACACCTTATTGGGCGAGTTCAGCTCCTGTAGAACGAAAACCAGATACAAAGGGTCAGCACGAGCGACCACAGTTCATAATGCTCGTTTCAGAGACGTACCTTTAGCAGTTTGCACGCGAGCTTCAACACGTTGTTGGAGACCAGAAGCTTCTCCTTCTTGTGAGGTTTCGCCAGCAGACGAAGGTAAACATTCATCTGTTCAGTCAGAAGCAGCGACGTGTTCTGGTACTTCTTGTTGATGTTGGAGCCCAGCATCATGAAACGCAACATGAACACACTGCACGGACAAGCAGCCAAGAATGTGGGTCAGCGCACTTCAACGCAACACATCAACAAGTAAACCCATGCAACGTACGAAGACAGCATACACCAAATTGCTACTTCGATGTGGACAATGCTCTCAGGTGAGATGGAGCCAGATCCGTCCGAAACGGCCTGCATGCCCATGACGACAAGCAGCACGAGAATGATAAGGAACGACGTCGACACGATTTCATCTGCTGCACGTTGGCGGCCTTGACGCTTCAGCCATGTGCGTCCGCCTCGCAGCGAGATCCACGCCTTGATGTTCACCACGTTCTTTAACCGGAAGTGCGGAAGCTTTGCCAAACGCGAGCGCCGCGAGGACGTCAGCGCAGTAAAGCACTTGGCATATCTGTAAAACAGCATCACAAACAAAACGCGTTAGAGTGCAGAATGACAAGTTTCAAACTGCTATACTTACAAAAAGCGGCGGTGGTACGTGACTTCGGCATCTGCGAGCGCAGTAAAAATGATGGAAGCCAAGTAATACGTCGACAGAATGCACGAGATTGAAATGACTGACGCGCCAGACGCGAGTTCCTGTGCGTGCATGTACAGCCGGTACGCGGATAGTTCCTTGGACAGATTAGATATCCACGAGAGCACTTCAAGGGAATCCTGCGATACTGCGACACAGTCGAGCTCATGGCATTTAACCGCGCATCGCAATGCGATCGGCACCAGAGCGAGTATTACTGCAGATACATCCGCTACCTTGCGGTAGAATACCCGCGTAGGCGTCGCTTTCACCTAGAGAGCGCAACGACACATACTAATTAGGTTTACATATTTTTTTAGGAGAAGCAGTCTTTTTCTCACCTTAGCGAGGATTGTATTCCGTAGTTCAGTGATGGACATCGCTCGTTTCACCGGAACACCATCCTCCCAAACACAGACAGTCACTCGTCTTCTAGCAAACTGGTCCGCCACACTGTCCAAACCTCCATTCAACAGCGGAACGCGCGGTGGTAACGACATCGGCGGTTTAGCCAAAGCAGCTCGCATCACCTGCACAATCATCCACAAAACATGTGACTTTTTCGGTGTTGCACTTGAGGAAATACAACGCAGCAACCAAACGTACGCGTTTCGGGGAGGTGGGGGCGGAGCTACTTTTGTGTGGGAACATGTCGTCGTTGGGGCTCGACTCGTCACTGGACGAGGACGAGTTGCCACTGTCTTCGTCGCTATCCGTGCCGTCCGAGTTCTCGGATTCCGCTAGTCCTGATCCCAATCCTGATGCTGCAAGTGACGTGTCGGACTCGGAGCTGCATGCGGTTTCTGCCTGCTTGATAATGGGAGACAGAATCTTCATCGCCACATCAGTATCCGGCGCCTGCAATGCGCTCGATACCCGACCGTAGCCAATTGCCACAAGAAATAACAAGAAGATTGGGAAGAACACCTCGAACGAGTTGTGCGGTGACGTGCTCTTGTTGTAGAAGAAGTAGATGCACACAGCCACGCCGTGCAGTACGTAGAGCGCCGTCGCTGTCTCGTAGATCCATGGCTTCTGTCTCCAAAACTTAGCGTGAAATGGCACGAGTAGCGCGCGAGTAAACCCCTCTTGCACGAGTTTGCGGTCATGGCTTGAAGGTTTTGTGTGGAAAAGCGCTGACCTGCAGGTACAACGTCGTTAGCACCACTTGTAGAGACCACTAAGCCACAAGTCGTACCCTTTGATCAAATCGAAGTCGATGAGCTCGCGCGTGAGGTTCATCTCGCGTTTTAAACGCTGCTGCTGTTCTAGCACCTCGGGAGAGGATTCGGCTTTGCGGTGCAATCGCTTGGGGTTCAGGCGCCGCGGTGGCGTAGCGAACTCGTCGTCCATGTCGCGTGCGTGTGATTGTGGCCAGCGTGTGGATCCTCAAAATGGACACAACAGGTCAAGCCAGTCAAGAACACTTGAAAAAGACTGCGACCGCTTGAGCTCAACAAGTAAAATTGGATAATGAAAGCTGTTGTCGTTTTGTAGCGACAGAGACGGTCAGTGACAGAGCGACAGCGGACACAATACCCTATCCCCGTCGAAGGCGATGAATCGGGAAGTGCAACATCTTACTGACAGGAGGAAAAACGGTAGATAACCTGCGGAAAATAGATCGCCGCATGGAATGGCGCGAACGAAAGCGAATGCGAAAAGACGCACGAAACCAACTGAAGTAAAAATAGAAAGCTAGGCGCAGGCTCAGTTTGCTTGGACTACATTCACTCCCCTCGACGATCGCACACCACTCTGCACCGCACTGCCTCGTACCGCCTCGCGCGTACGGATGGCGCTAGCTGCGACGAGAGTGCAATGCAAAGCATGGCAAGCACTGTATCCTTTGCGACGTCAGGTCCGCGACATTTGCGGGAATTCTTGCTGAAGCCAAGTCGGATTAATACGTGGGCGGCACAGTTGCACACGCCGCGGCAGCCTTTCGCTCTGTGTTTGTGTATCTTGCGTGTCTTGACGCTGGTGCGTTGGCCTCAGGCGTATACCTACTTGCCGTTGGTCTTCTAGAGTTTTCGCCGCTTGGAGCTGCCAGTTGGGCACCGGCGTCGGTAGTACATCACCAGCGCCACTAACACCCCATTGAGCAGGGCCAGATGTACCATAAATAGCAGCGGACTCGTCCAAAACCCGCACACCACACCCTTCCAACCCTGTAGAGAATAAGAAAAATCAACACTGGTGCAACAACGGCCAAAAACAAGCGTCTCGTCCTCTTACCTTGATCTCGCGACTCGTCAACGCGTTTTTGCCGTACTGAATCGATAGGAACTGCGCTACTTCAGCCGGCACGGGTTGTTCCTGAACAGGGTTGACACCGTCGTGGACGTTCACGTTCGTACGTTGCAACGGAAAGAGCGCCTTGCGCGGTACACAACCTCCACAACACATGTGCTCTGTGTGTGCTTGCAGGCCTTCCGAGCAGCATATGAGACTGTCTTCCTCGTCGTATCCAGGTGGAACTAGCACATTCTCGCGATCCTTCGCCACGTCTTCGTGTGTCAACTCCACATACCAGTAAATGTCCACCCATGTGCTGATGTCTGCCGTGTCGTACACACGGATACACGGGTCGTGTAGCCTCGGGTCCGAACAGTACAATTTATGGTTCTCAGTATCGTACGTTAGCTTGACTTTATGCGGGATGTCATCGTCGCGGTCGTAGGCCGTGAGTCCGACAGCCTCGAATTCACTCTTGAGCGTTGAAATTTCGGAGCACGTTGCGTTCATAACGCCTATATCCACATCATACTCCCAGGGAATAAGTCCATCATCTCTGTGTACACCTAGAAGCGTGCCCTTGTCCAGCCAGTACTCGATATTGTTGCGCTGGAGGATACGTGAGGTCTTGGTCAGCAGCGACGACATCTGCACGCGTGTATCGCACTTGCCATACAGAAACCGCAACATTTGCACTACCGTTATCACGCCTAGGAAGCACAGCAGGTAGTAAATGATCTTCTGCCGCGGCGGTGCGCGTAGCTTCGTAGACGCCGCCACGGGGACACGATGCGGAAGCATGGTGATGGAGTAAATAGACCAAGATAGACTCCGTTACAAATGGTGTGGCGCAGCTCCTGGAATAAGTACGAGTCATGGTTTCCTCTACGAAGTGGCGGAAGTTTAATAGTGCATGTATTAATAGGAGGCGCCGCCTATCCATGAAAGCTTAGCCTAAGTTGGCTTATTCTTTCGAGGTACACGTATTATTACATGTACATGTAGTCATTGAACGCACGGCTACGGTTTTGCAGCCATTTTTGGGCTCGCACCATTAGAAGAAACTGATTACGACACGCATCATCAAGGCATTTATTTGCATCGCAGACAGTGAGAAGCATTTGCAGTATATCAAGCATGCTGCGCAAGTTTTTCGGTAGCGGAGGCGTGTCCGAGAGTACCACATCGTCTTTTGCCACAAAGAAATCCGAGGTTGAAAGTAATGGCAATCACAACACCGAGTTCGCCGAAATGGTTGTGCGTCTGGAGCGCTTTGAAGGTAACGAGCGTTAAACGCGTTTGCTGTGCGAAAAGTTAATCTTGTGGTATACATTTAGTAGGTCTGAAGGACACGATTAACAAGCTGTCCCGACACTGCCAAGCAATTTGTGGTAAGTGATTTCGCTTGGTCCAAGTCGTATTAATGTCTGACTTCGCTGTGTTCAGAGGTGGTCGCCTCTAGTCGCGATCTCGGCTCGTGTGTACATAGCCTTTATGGAGAGGAAGACAAGCAGCAGCTAGCAGCAGCAGAAGCACGCAAACTCTTGGCGGATGTCGCCACGTTTCAAACCAACTCGATTGCACCATTGCAGACCATTTTGTCTGGTATTCCGCAGCTCAAGGTACAAGCTGCGCAATGGCCATAAAATTGTAGACTGACTGACATTCATATAATGTCGAGTAGCTGAGGTGCGACCACCGTAATAGTGCCAATCGTGTCGTGCTTCGATATGAACGAAAGGTAGAAGAACTTCAATCAACGACTCGCCACGAGTCTACTCGTCTTCGTCGTGTGAGTATGCACTGAAAGAAAACAAAGGGTTGGAATACAAGCTCTCTCACGCTGTGTTTACTTTGCAGAACCGATCGAAATACCAAGTCGCTTTTGCACGATTTAAGGAGATCGACGACGAGATCCTTGCTGACGTTGCTGCTGTGTTAGCGAATGATTTACCGGAAATCGCAGGACAGGCAATCGAAAAGGTAGTCAGACAGCTGCTATATTTCCGTGCCCCTTCTTGCTAACAAAATTTCCTTGGTTTGAATAGCTATTGATTCAGCAACAAGCTCTTACAGCTAGCTGGATGCAGGCTGAAGTAACAACTCTTCAGAAACATTTGAGCGGGTATCGAGCCCTTGCAACAGAGAAGAAACAGCAGCAGGCTCAGGTCAAAGTCCATGAAAAGTGTGCAAACGATGCTGGGGTAGCTGAAAGCTCAAGCGACAGCGATATCGATAATAACAATGCGAACGATAGCCATGTGGAAGATCCTGCTCGAAGCGTTAAACCGTCCTCACCGCGCTATCCGACTGCAACTGCTTCTCCCAAAAAGATGCAGCCAAGCGACCCCATTCGCGTCATGTCCAATCATGTGCGTAACCAAGAGCAAAGTATTTGTCCACGCACGAAGCACGTCTCCGGCACGCGAACATGGAATCTGCACCGCCATATCAAGGACTCCATGGCGAGTGGACTGGACCTCGCGGACTGTATCCAGCTGCCCGAGGGCTGCCAACTCGATGAGTGGATCGCCGTTCACGTGATCGACTTCTTTAACGAGATCAGTATGCTGTTCAACACAATCTCCGAGTTCTGCACACACAGCACGTGTCCACAGATGTCAGCGGGGCCATGCTATACGTATCTTTGGGCAGACGGCGTGCAGCAAGTGACACCGATCTCGCTGCCAGCAGCGGAGTACGTTGCGCGACTGCTCGAATGGGTAGATGGACAGCTCGACGACCCGAAGCTCTTTCCTGAATCCTACTCTACTGCTACGAGCAGCAATGGCAGCGGAGAATGCAACCCCAAGAATATGCGCACAGCACGCAACATCCTCAAGCGCCTGTTCCGCGTCTACGGGCACGTGTATCACAACCACCTGCAGGACTACGTAGCACTGCAAGCCGAATCGCATCTGAATTTCTGCTTCAAGCGCTTTATCCTGTTTGCGCGACAGTTCGAACTCATCGAGCAGAAAGAGCTTAATGCGCTTCGTAAGCTCATCCAGACGTTGGTAGCCAAACCCGTGGCCATGACGAACTTCTAGCGCAGCAACACCTCAAATGTATCCATCTCACTATTAGCCAATCCCCAAGAGCTGCAAAGGCGCGGGTTTCAATCACTGACCAAATGACTTGAATTTTGTAAGGAGACGGGTTTTCGTTGAGGGGTTTAGGGTTTGTGGGGAAGCCATTCGCAGTGCGGATCAGTTCCCACATCCCGAAGCTTCGTCTCCCCCCTCTCGAACCCCGCGCGACCATGGAGCTCGAGGAGGCGCAGGACGTTGTCTCCGTCTTCTTGCGCGAGCTTCGTACGTCGTCCCTTGTTGACAATATTTTTTTATAAATCTGATTTTACAATGACCATCACTCTTCATTGGCAGTGGGCGGGAAGGAATACAGCGAGGCGGAGGCTACGCGCTTGCAGATCCGACGCCCTTCGCGTCTTAAGACGATCTTCACTGACATTATCGGCGTGCTGGACGAAAGTGAGCAAATCCGCGCGCTTGAAGCGCTTATCAGTCTCGTACGTAGCAGCTGCGGCAATGTGGAGGCTTGTTCCACCGCTGGGCTACAGCGTGCGATCCTAAGCTTCCTCAGCGAGCGAGGCCTGTTCGCAGACCCAAATCTGCCCCTCGCAGTGCTCAAGAAACTGCTGCGTGTGTTCCTCTACTTGGCCTACCACTCCGTCAATATCGACGACATCCAGGCCATGCTCGCGGTCTTTCGAAGCATGCGCATGGTGCACGAGGAGCCTGACGATCAGGCTGTGAGCTACTATTTGTCCACACTCGAGATGATCGCACGGGACTCGTTTGGACCCGCGTCTTTCTTCGATCTCAATGGCGAGTTTTCGGGTCTTTTGATGCCTGTGCTGCCGGCTTTTCCCAACACTGGATACACCTTTTGTGCGTGGATAAAATTTGAGTTTCTGCCGGAAGAAGTCGCGCCGCTTTTCACTTTTTGCGGTAAAACCGGAGTGGGCATCACGTGTTCCTTCCTGCGCTCGTCGCTGATGATTACGAGCTTTGACAAGCGAAAGAATGACGGGCACGTGGAAGTACCGGATCTCGTGACGCCCGGCAGGTGGCATTTCCTGTGTATCACACACACACACCGTCAGTTCCGTGGATCCAAGTTGGACGTGTATCTGAACTCGGAATTGCGACAGAGTGTGCGTCTGGCATACCCGAATACAGCGCTCATGGCTCCAGTGGTCAAGGCGTATTTGGCTATGCGAGAGAGCAATGGAACTAACGCACTACGGATTCTTCTGGGCCCAACAGCGCTCTTTGGACAGGCTTTACCTGCCAGTATCATCAACAATATTCGCAGCGTGGATGAATATGATGCACTTGTGTTCCAGTTCAACTCGTACATCTCGTCGTCGTCCACTTCATCGGGCAGCGGCGTTAGTGGCGCGCCAGGAGCGCCAGGAGGATCAAACGCATCAGGAAACTCGACCGACGGACTGCTGCTCGCTTACGATGCCCGACACTGCGACCGGCTCAAGGGTCTGTGCTACGATTCCAGTGGCAATGACTACCACGCAGCTGCGGCTAGTGCGGGAGTGAGATTAAGACATGCTGGAACGTTTAAACAAGCGGTGGCACAGCTAGGCGGACCGCTGGTCTGTCTCCCGTTATTAGTGACGTCTACTACTGCGGCTGTATCGACGGTGAGTGCCACGGCTACAAATTCTAATGGAAACGCAGACGATGCGTCAGAGAACACACTTGTTGCAAGGATCAGTTTGGCCGGAACTAGTGTAGCGCTAACGACCCAGTTCGACGAGGACTCGGACTTCCTCAAGCAAATGAGCGACCTGATTGCACGTCCGATGGGCGTGCGCAGTATCCCGAAGGTTATGCTGTTGATCGCGGAGATCATGCGTCATTCACTGGTCAACAAGTTTATCTTCCGACGCAGCCAAGGTGTACGTCTTATGGCATTGCTGATGCGCTCGCTGCCACCGCAGTACTTGACTTCTGAGCTGCTAATCGCCATCGAGCGGCTTCGTAGCGCCGTCATTTCGGACCGAATTCTGGCGGACGAGATTTACAAATTCCTGCTATTTAACTTTCGTATCTGGGTGAATGCTCCGGTGGATCTCCAGGAAAGTATGTTCGACAAACTGGAGATCATGACTCGTAAGGACAGTAAGAATCTGTCTCCGGCTTCCACACGCCACTTTCTGCGCTGTCTGTCGTGGATCTACTGGAAGACCCCCTCGTCAACAACACTTCGACGCGCTCGAGATTTCTCTCAGGAAGAGATTGATGTCTTACGGAAGCGTGTGTTGGCAATGATCCAGATCGTGCTGTGTGAATCCCCCCCGCCCAAGGCTGCCGGTTCGGTTATGACTTTCCCTGGAAAGGGTAAGGAAGTGAAGTCTCAGTTGTCCTACGAGAGCACGCGTTCTCTTATTTTCTGTATGATTGGAAAGCCAAGTAACCCCATGGTTCCAGGAATGAACATTGATGGAACGCCGGCGATTCAAGAGGTTGGACCGTCGAATGGAGCGCCATCGTCAGCTACTGTCTCGTCTTCATCTAGCACGAAGAGCATACCTGAAAGCGACCTAGATGGCAGTGGCTCTGTCGTCGAAAACGTACCCGAGACCGATTTGCCGGACCTGCTCCAGCTACTGATTGAGCTGTCTATTCAACCCACGGCTCCTGCTGGAATGCTGGACCTCTTCGGTCGTTTGGGTGGTCTTCGCATCTGGTTGCCATTACTAGAGTTTTCGAACGATGTCATTCGTGTCATGACGTTGCGCTTGCTGCGAACGTATCTCTACTTGAAGTGTGAGTGCACTCAAGACCGTGAGATGGTGAACAACCCGGACAAGATCCAGCTTTCTGTTGGTGATGCGTATTTGATCATGCATTCGCTGAAACCTGAGAAGAGGCCCGTGTCCATGGGAGTTTACTCTGAGATCCTGCTCATGATTTTGGGAATTCAAGTGACAGAAAAGAATATGAAAGCTCTCGATGGAAAAACAGCAGCATTCGATGCACTAATTGACGAAAATGTGCTAGCCACTGCGACGATTTGGCACGACAACATGATGCCTGCTTTCTTGGGCCTGGTACGTGCCAGTTCGGTCACGATTCGCATGGTTGCTATTCGCCACCTCAAGATTATCTTCGCGTCGTCCACTATAGCCAGCGCTATCAACCGTCACATCCTCATCTTTGGAAGTATCTCGAGCATGGGTGGCACTGCGACTGAATCGTCAACAACGGAGCAGGTTCCTATCATCGAGTCCATTCTTAGTCTCCGTGGCGATCCTCAGCGTCTGGATGACAGCCCCCCGTCTCCGCCTCCGTCGCTCTTTGGTATCGAACTGCACGGCTGTCCCGGTGTCCCTATGAGTCGACTGCGAGACATGGTGTTGAACACGCAAGAGCCCGACGAGGTTCGTGTGAATGCGCTGTTCTCTATAATCACACAAGACGACGTGGATTTTGTCCGCGGTCTTTTGGCATTGCATGGGGACGGTGATCGTAAGAAACAAGGTGTGAGTGCGAGCTGCTTCAACGACATGTCAAGCCGCATGAAGTTGGCGCTCGTGGAGTTGATGTCCGTGTACCAGCCCAGTGGATGCGTGGACTTCATCACGATGATGTCGTACGACGTCATCTCGTCCATGATCTGTCTGGAAGTGAAGTCGAACGAGATGGCCTGGTTCTTACTGCAAGACCCGTTCACGACACTCTCCCGGTTTATTGCCTCTGCGGAGGAGCTTGAAGTGGTTGTGGTATCGTTGCTCAAGACTACGCTGGACAAGATGAATGAAATGCTCTCGGCTGAGATGAATCTGCGAATTAACGAGGGCACCCCATCGCGGGAGTCTATTCTGTGGCGCAACGCTGAGAGTCTGGCTTCACTTGCAGCTGCTGTAGTGCTTCACTATGACCCGGATACACTGGGCGGGGTTGATCCGAGCACTTTGGTGGGTACCGATGATGTTACTCAGAGCTTGGTTTTTTGGAAGTGTGAGCGGGCTATCTGGCACGAAGCCGAGCTGGTTGACTCGATTCTCGGCATCTGGCAGCACTTCGCCTCTCACTTCCACTCAAATTCCGATGCCAGCTTCGCGCGACGATCCAGCAATGCTCACCGTCGTAACAGTACGCCAACCCGTCAGATGGACAGCGGACTGCAAAGTCCGCCATCTTTGGGCTCTGCAGCTCGCTCCAGTGCTGGTACGAGTATGCTTGGCTTTGGATTTAACCTGCTGCCAACTGGTGTCGTGTCAAGTGCATCTGCAGCCAACCCACCGACGACTCCGTTGTCAGGAGGGAGCAACATTTCCGCTCGTCCTCATCCTGGCGGACCGATGCGACAGATTCTACAGCTGCTGCTACGGTGTTTGTACCTCGTTCTCATCTCTGACGACCACGAGGCTGCAGCCAGTGGAGATGGCAGCGACAACGACGAGCTCTCGTCGGTCAAGCTGCGACTTCCTGCCAACTCTGTGTTTTTCCAGCGTATCAACAAACTAGAGTACTTCATCAACGCGATGGGCTTAGGCCACGAGATCGCGCAGTTCGACTCGTGCTTTGCGCCCTCTCGCTCAGGTTCCAACGGTTTGACCACAACGGCTGGACTGGTCACTGCAAGCGAGTGCATCAAGGCTTCTCCAGGAGATGAAACAACGCTCTTGCTCTGGCTGATTCCAGAGCTCTCGGCTCTGATTGACCGCGTACGACGAAAGTGCTGGTCCGAGTCAGCAGTCAAGTTGGCCAGCATCTTGGCGTCTTTGGTGTCCGTGCCTCTTCGTTCGTCCGACCAACTAGTTGAGTTACTTGGTCGCAATGACTTCACCACAAACAACCAAGAGGTACGTCGCCGGGACTGCTTCTACCATGAACAGATGGCCCATGCGCGCGACATCCGCGCCATGCGTCGCGTTGGTATGTTTGACGAGGAAGCGGATGAAAAGAATCGTGCTAAGCTCGAGCTGGAGAGGATCAGCAAGTTCACTCGCTCTTTGACTTCGTTGGGTCCTCCTTCTAGCAATGGCGAGGACCACGTCTGGCTGGAACGGGTTAAGGCGAAGGATATTGATGACTGGATGAAACTTCGCGTGTTGGCCAAGTGGGGCGTGCGTCATGTCTGGGGAGTGAAGGAAGAAGCGGTGGTGGATGCTGTGGGCGATGGAACTATCATCGGTCTCTGGGGTGACAACGAGTTTTGGCGTGTGGATATCTACACTTCGAGTAACTGGATTCGCTGTCGTCTGCTCCCTGATACGGATGATACGATCTCACATAACTTTAAATTGTCGAGTCTGAAGAACGAGATGCTCAACAATATGGCAGACGAACTGACGATGCCGCCAGTGGACTCAATCGTTGTGGATGACGCATCGGGTGATTCAACAGAGCAGACACTGGAGGAGGAAGATGATGATGAAGCCCATACTGTTAGCAGTGGCGGCGATGGAGATGGATCGGATGGCGGAGAAAGCGAAGAGCCGGCCTACGTTGGATTGGCTCGACGTCTCAGTGACGTGGGCTATATGGATGACGACAGTAGTCCGTCGCAGCTTGAAGCCAGTGGCAGCAGAGACGATGTTCCACCCCGCTCGATGCTGCGTGATCGCATGCACAGCAGTGATAGTGTGGGCGAAGTTGTTGATGCGTCTTCACGCTTGGATATCATCGGTCAAAACCCGGACCTCATTTCGACTGCGCCGTTGGCGTTGGCACCGCCCACCCCAGAGGTCAGTGACAACGTCACTCCTGTAAACGAGGACGACTCGCCCATCAGAGACCGTCGTGCTGTATCCATTGATGTGGCAACCACAGTCAAGTCAGCCAAGGGACGCATTGGAACGATATCTACGCGGTTCTCCTCTGGTATTAAGCGTCTTGCGGGTGCTCGTCCGACTACTTTGTCAGGATCTACCAGTGCTGAAATGACTGGCTCCCACAGAAGCCTCTCGAATGTTTCCGAAGAAGACGGAGATGCTAACCCGCAGGACTCGCCGGATACAGCAGGAGAGGAAATGTCGAGGAAAGAACCTACTAAACCTTCAAGCCCAACCGAACCAAGATCATCTGGGCCGTCGTCACGCATGATGAAGAAGTTCCCAAGCAAGCACGAGCACTGGAAAACGCTGGGATCTCCGTACCGCACCAAGGCTTATCTGGTGCTGCCGTCGGGTGTTTTGGTGCATGGTGTGCTTCGTATTGGCGCTGCGACTATTGTTTTTGAGGGTGAACGTGTCGTGACTTTACGTGGAATAGCAGATGCGTTTAAAACAAACGAAGATGGAGGAACTGCTGCTCGCCAGCGCGGTGCGCAGCGTCTCCATGCAGCGTACGTGTCCCAGTTGAAGCGCCGTGTGTGGGGTGTCCGTGTGATCCGTGTGATCCACAGGCGGCGATTCCTTATGGAGGGCCAGAACGGCCTCGAAATCTACTTTGTAGATGGAAGCTCGTGCTTCTTTGGACTGGAAAGCAACGGAGAGGCCGATTTGGTGTATGCCACGCTCAGAGAGCGAAAGCCGCCATGCCTCGCCAAGTGGGGCAAGCGGTTGTTGTCAGCTGACCGAATGCTCTCCAAGAGCAAGTGGACAGATATGTGGGTGCGTCGTGAGATCAGCAACTTTGAGTATCTTATGGCGCTCAACGTGTCGGCAGGTCGTTCATACAACGATCCTTCTCAGTACCCTGTCTTCCCGTGGGTGATCAAGGATTACGAATCGGCAGAGCTGCGCTTGGATGACGAAGACATTTATCGCGACTTGCGTCGGCCTATCGGAGCACAAACAGCTGAAGCTATTCAGCGTGCGCGTGCAACGTACGAAGGTTGGGACCCCAAGACTCCCATCCCAGCATTCCACTACGCGAACACGTACTCGCACGTGCAGTCCGTGCTGTACTTCTTGATCCGACTAGCGCCTTTCACTGGCGCTGTTTTGGGCAGCGAGGAACAGCAGTTCCACCTCAAGGCCGCTGGCGAACCTACGTTCGATTCTGTTCCTGAAGCCTTCCAGATGTGCACGAGTGACGAGCGGCACATGTTTGAGCTGACTCCAGAGTTTTTCTACTTGCCAGAGCTGTTCTCAAGTGCTCGAAACAAGACCCTGGCTCGGCACTTCACACCGGGACAGGATGTCAGTGCGACGGCAGGTCTAGCCCGTGACGTGGCGCTTCCTCCTTGGGCGGCGTCTCCGTACGACTTCGTACGACTTCACCGCCTGGCACTCGAGAGCGACTACGTGTCCAGCAACCTGCACCACTGGATTGATCTTATCTTTGGCAACAAGCAGACTGGATCTGCGGCTGTGGATGCACTGAACTCGTACCACATTGCTTGCTACCCGGAGCGTCTGGATCTCGGCACCTCGAGCGATGGTGTGCGTGCGAAGCTCGTTCAGCGTGGTACCGTGCCGATCCAACTTTTCCGTAAGCCGCACCCGGCACGTATGACGCAGGATGAAGCACTGGAGGCTCGCTACCCTGCTTCACACAGTATGGCCGTGCTGTCTTCGCGGCGACAAGTGCGTCGTCATGACCTCCCGTCCAAGCACACTGCTGCTGTTAAGAGTGTGCGCTTTTCAAATGCATTGAATCAAGCCGTGGCGCTTACTGCACTTACTGGATCGGGTCCTGGACTAGGAAGTGGCACCGGAATGGGAGCGCACAGCACCGGTAGCAACGACCACGGCGTTGTCGTGTACACGACGGATAGCGATGGTGTTGTCTTGGCGAAACGCTACTTGAACTCTGTACCTGATACGGTACGTTCGTGCCCGTTCTCGATGGTGGACGTGGACCAGTGGTGGAAGCTTCCTGCTGGATGTCTCGTGAGCGAAGGTGTCGTGTTCTACGAGCAAATGATCAGCTGCGGCTATTGGGACGGCAGTTGGCGCATCCACTGGGCTGCTGATGGCGAGCTTTTGCAACGAATCGCCTTCCACAAAAAGCCTATTCTGTGTATGGCGCGCAGCGAAGACGACTTTACTGGCGATTTGGCATTGGCGTTCGGCAGTGAGGATTGCACAGTATCAGTCTGGGCGTTGTCAAAGCTCTCGGCTTCTCGCTCGCGACGTCTCTTCCTCAAGAAGGAGCTGCCTGTGGGTGGTCTGCCGTGGGTTCTGCTGGTTGGCCACACGAGTCCAGTGGTTGCTGTTGCTCTTAATGTGGACTTAGATGTGGTCGTCAGTGCATCGAAGCACAACATGCTGCTGCTGCACTCGCTCCGCGGCTCGACACCACTCCACGCTCTGGCCCTCACACCTGGTCCGATGGAGACGTCTGCTGTTGCTCACATGGTCATTTCGGCGCAAGGAGACACGCTGGTTCACTCCATCACAACTCACAAGACCCAGCGTAGCGGCCGCTTCTCTCGTGCGAATTCGCTCTTTTCGGATGACAAGGCTCGGCTTACGGTCGGTGAATCTAGTAGCAACAATAGCAGTATGGTGGCTGGCGGACTGTCCAGTAGCGGATACGTCGCGACGAATGATCAGCATGAGAAGCGGAATGATGGCGCAGAGCAGCAGTCTGAACTGTACATGGTATCCATTAACGGTCATGTGGTATCCCACGACAAGCTGGTTGTGAGAGGAGAAGAAGTTGCCGATGGTGACGATGACAAGGCTCAGATTCCACATTTACTACTAGAGCGCGGTGTATTATTCACGCGCTCCGGTGAGTATCTCATCACAGCATGCGCTGGTGCTGATGCAGCGATTGAAGTGCGTGATGCTGGTATGCCTGGCTCTGTGGTTCGACGTATCGAGTGCAAGAGACCAGGAGCTGAACTGACGAGTTTGAGTATGGGCCAGGACGAGCGATGCATCGTATGCGGCTATGCGGATGGCGCGGTTGTAGCGTACGCTCTTCATTTTGGTGTTGCTGATGGCTGCAAGAGTCTGGTGGGTCTCGATAAGCAGGCACGCGAACGCGAGCGTGCTGCTCTTGCGCAGGCCACTAAGCGCGACTTGCTGCGAAACAAGAGACGGGAGGAGCTCCTTCCTGCCTTTATGCGTGGCAATGGTGGTGCTGAGGGCTCTCTGTGGTCACGACAAGGTAAGGCAGGAATGCCCGATGAGCCGTACATTACGCACATGCAGGAGCGGTTTGCCTTGCTGAAGCAGAGTTGCGTGAGTGGAGACGAAAAGTACGAGGAGAAGCTTCGTGCACTCTGGGACGCCATCTACTCGCAATTCGACAAGGAGAGTGAGTCGTCTACCAAGGAACAACCTCAGGCTATTGCTGAGGGTAATCTGTTGGACTTGGGTGATGACGATCAGAATGGTACTGCTGATGTTCCTGAGCCCACTAAGAACATGCAGTTTGAGCGAGTTGGAGAATCATGGAGTCGACTGGGTTTCCAACGTCCGGACCCGACGACAGACTTCCGTGCTGGCGGCATGTTGAGTCTGGATTGTTTGGTATATTTCGCGTCGCATTATACTACACAAGCTGTGCGCATGGTGACGAGTCAGGTGCCTGGTTCACACGATCATACGTATCCGTGGGGTCCTGCGGGTATCAACGTGACGTGCATGGTGGCGCGTCTGTTCTGGAAGTTTGATGGCGAGCTTGTTCGCGACCAACAAGCCAACTGGCCATTGTTCTATGACACCGAGGCCTTCCAACTGCTCTTTTCAGAGGTGTTCGTGCTCTTCGACTACCTTTGGAACGAGATGAACGCCAACTACGGCAACTTTTCCAGTACGTTTCTGCCTACTTATGCTGCTACTGCTGGAAAAACCACTTATTAACCTTGTATGTGTTGCGCCTATGTGCAGTGGTAATTCAAGCGACAAGCGATCGCATCATGGACGTGCTGGAAGAAGCCCAGGGCGACATCAACGTCATATTGATGGAGCTGCGCTCGCAGAGTTTGTCTGTCGTTGGCAAGCAGCGACGAGCATCGTCACGTTCGATGGAGGATTTTCTGACGGCGATCAACACGAATATCACTGATGCTTCGGCTGCAGTCAACGAGGGTCTTACTGCTTCAGATGGCTCGAGTTTCCGGCCAGCTACACCTCCAAGCAAGTCGCCGCGGTCTTCGTGGTCATTTGCGAACCGTTTGAGTGGCGTCATGGGCTCATCAAGCTCGCAACCAGCCGCCATATCGTCGCCCACATTAGCTACGGCTACGACTGCTACCGAGGCAGCTCTCCTTCCCAGTGAACCAGCGAAGGAGACGTCGGTTCCTACAACAGACACATTGATACCTGATGTCAACGACCCTTTCGCTGGAAACGATATCCGTGGATTCGAAGAGAAGCCGCCGTCACCGCCTCCAGTACAAAGCGATGACCCCTTTGCGTGCTTGATGTAAGACAAACATTAAGGAATTAGCGAAAGTGCCTGGTAGTTAGAAATTGTGCGCTGCCAGCGGCGCATATAGTAAGAAAAGAAGCGATGCAGTTCGTTCAAAAGTAAAAAAGATCATTGAAGTCCAATAATCTATCTCTGTAGAGATCTTGACTTTTCTGTTCACCAGAAAAGGTTGTCCACAGCGACGTCCTCATTCGCCTTCCGTCGGAAAACGGCCACATATTTCTTGCCGCCGCCACGGGCGACTTTCTTGCCTTCCTCAGTCTCCTCTGTCATGGCCTTCACGCACGGGTCGGACTCCTATAGTACAAGTTTTTATTGGCGTGAGTTTTACAGCTTTCAGCGTTTCGTTATCAAGTGAAAAACGTCAAGTACCAGTTCGTTGTCAGGGATGCGAGTGAAGCACGGGTGGGCGGAGCACTTCTCTACGTGCCACTCGTGCAGCTCCTCCACGTCCGTGATGGTGTACAGGATGCCGCCCGGAGCCAGAAGATACGCGTACTCAGCAAGAAGTGGCGTGCTGCAACAACAAACATTAATATTGCTAATTCACAAATTCCACCGTACCAATACAGAACCACGTACTGGACGATGCGGCGGCGGTGCAGACGCGTCTTGAACTGTGGGTCCGGGAAGCAGAAAAACATCTTGGCCATCTGTCCCTTGCGGAAGTAGTGAGGCAAATAGCGCATAGCGTTCGTGCGCAGTGCCGACACGTTTTGGAACTGGCCAGGGTTCTCGGAGCGAAGCGCCTCAATACGAAGACGCACATATTCCGTCACCTTGGCTCGGATTTCGAGCGCCAGCGTCAGCTTGTCCGGAAACAGCTCCGCCAGCTTCACTGCAATCAATTAAACCCACAATATATTGCATTTGCATTTGTCCACGACGCAAACATAGGTCATTTTGCACGACGAACCTGTGAGTCCACCGAATCCACAGCCGACGTCCAAAAAGTCAACGTTCCTGCTCATTGCAACGCAAAATCAATAAGCCGCTTGAAATTCCTGGTAGTTGCCGGTTCTTACGGGTTCTCAATACCCGGGTAGTGAGTTGACCAGTCCATCTCATCGGGTGTCTGCGGACTGTGGATCATCGATTAGAGTGTTCTTCACTTGGTGGCATTTCATTGCAAATACGTCGAGTCACGTACTAGTTAAAGCAGTCATTATGTGACAGCGGATTACAGTGCGCACGCGAGCGGTAGAACTTCTTCTGCGGGAGCTTGCTCAGCGTCTGCGCGTCCTCGGATGCCTTCGTCTCGGCCATACTCACGTCCACCCGATTTAGAGTGATAAACAGAAATGTGTCATCACTACCCCGAAACAATGACACCTTACTGAATTCCAGTCCAAAAGGCTAACCAAAATGGCACCAGGGTCAGGCAACTCTGTGGTCGACGATCTGCCTGTTGGATGCTGCGAAGAATGCGGCAACGATGCGCTGTACCTGGACCGCGTGCTGGCGGACCACTTTTCGCTGCGTGTGTGCGTCAACTGCAAGCAGGATCTAACGCTGCATGACGGCGCATTTGAGCTCTTGTCCAAGTCTCGTGCCAGAGCCGAATATGCTCTTCCGGACTCCTCCTTCTGTGGGCTGCCACACCTGGACAAACCCAACCCACGACATGAAGCCTTTGCTCCACTGCAACTTTATCTGAGAAGGACCTTAGTGAAAGAAGCTCGTCGCTTGTATGGTGACGAAGACGGCCTGCAACGCGAAAAACAAAAACGAAAGAAACGCGCGTTTCGATCGGCGGCTGGCAGGACGAAGCATCTCTTGAAGAAACAGCACTTGGTAGAACTTGACAGAGACGAACATGAAGAGACAAAACCGAAGAAAGAAAAGAAACAGAAGCCTGAGTACGTGCCAGTGGCTGACAAGGATCATCGACATGCATTTGCCACTGAAAAGTTCGATGAAAAGGCCAAAATCTGGACCAAAGAGTGTTCGTGTGGCATGCGAGTGGAATTTGAAAAGTGGTGACGAGCGAGAGACTAGACGACATGTATGATAAAGATTATTTCTTTTACTATTCGTACGTGGTGTCAACTTCGATGATTGAGTATTTTCCTTGTGTGTTGAAGGTTTGGATTCACTCCCATCGTCCGGTGCGGCCAATGAATCCTTCGTAGCAAGCAGTCATGTACACTGCCAGTCCGGTGAGTGCCGCCATACGCAGGTTTGGACTCATGGAGTTCGGCTGCGCAATTGCCGTCGAAGCTTCTTTTTCGGTCTGCACAGGTTTCCATGGCACTCCACACACATTGACATAGCTCAGACAACAGTAGTATTTGGGTCGCTGGTCTTCAATGCCGTTGAAAAGTTCCTGAGGAAACTGAAATGTTTGTGCCTGGTGTCGTCCGATCAGTGTGATCCGCAGCACAGTCTTCTTGCTGGCCGCCACTTTCCTTGGCAACACGAACTCTTGCAACGTCATGTCGTTCTTCACCTCATAGTCACGTGAGGCAAAAAATGGTTTGATAGCTGTTGCGCGCGTGCCTAGCGGTTGATTCCGCCCTATTGCAGACCCCTGCTGCAGCGTCGCCATGTCGTCAACATCAAAGAACTCGAACCGAACTCGTTTAGGCGCGTACGTTGGGCTGTCTGGATGCCAGAACACTCGATACGGGACAATCTGAACGGCATTCACTACGCACGGTCCATTGAGTGCGTAGTCAATAAACTCAGTTGCATTCTGGTTCGTTGACGCCGAGCTGCTCCAGTAGCACGACTCTCCCGAGGAGCAGCCGCAGCGGTGCTGAATGCGCTCGCCTAGCGTCGTCAGCTCCGCCTCCAGTTCCACGTCCGCCGTCTGTAGTTGATGCAACTCCATCCAACAACGCGAGGATGTGAGCGTGTTCACGGGTGACTCGCTTGGTCGGTCTGCAGACGAAAAGGCCTCCACACCGCCCAGCAACTGCTTGTCGCCGGTTGCAGGGCGCTGTGCCATGCACACCATTTTCTTCCACAGGTCGGACCGGTTCAAGGCTTCACTGCAGGTCACATGCGCGTCGGAGATACTTTTCCATAGCTCTAAATGCAGCAAGAATCGAGAAAAGAATTGCGCAACGTTAGACAATCGCAGGGATTCACACGAGAACGATTACGAAGAAGACGTACCGTGTTCGCGCGTGAGCTCCATCAGTGCATGTGATGTCTGCTCGGCTGCATGTAGCGCTGAGTGGTCCAGGAACTGCAGCACCTGCAGCTTCAGCACAGCGGGGAGGTCCATGTCGTTCCGTCGCTTTTTGGTCTTCCGGCGTTCGTCTTCACCTCGTTTCTTCAAGTTGGCAAGTGTCGTTTGTCCAGCGTAGGTCGAAGCAGCAGGCGTTTCTCTGCACAGAATGCACATAATTGACAAAAGGTGCACAAATTCTTTTTCTCATATGACGCGCAGATGATTGTGCACGGATTTTATCCATGGACACCTAATAAGGCTGCAGTGATTGATTGTCTTTGGATACCGTTGCCACTACTTGACCACCTCAACTATGGAATTGCTTGCACCAAGATACAAAGACGGCATTCTACAGTACTACAATAGCTTTTTTATCGTAAATAGAGCTTAATATTTTAGCTTCAACTCGCGACCTTTCGTGTTTAACGGCTAAAGTGGTCCGTTTTTTATAATTAGGGGTGTCAATGTAATAAAAAAACTGGTTTAAAAACTGGCGCAATCCAGTCGAGTGTTTATTATTTTTGCGTTCGACTACAAAGCGTTCAATACAAGGACTTCATGGTCTTGGGTTTAAATGTTGATGTAGAACTTATGCCATGATCCATCCGTATGTAATCACTACGGGTACTACGTTGATTTGACTGAAAACCATGTCGCGTAGTGTTTGAAAGGCAAAAATTCATGCTAAAAAATCAGAATACTCAAGACATGGAGAACTATGCCAAGCACCAGTCTCCTCTCTTATACACCAAGTCCACCGGCACTGTTGCTGCGTGGGCGGGAATCATGAGCGATATCCGAGCGGTCCGTAGAGCGTTGCGGATGGTACTCATGCCGGTTCTGCTTGGTGCCGACGTTGATCAGCACGAAGCCAGAGATAACGAGTGCAGAGGCAAAAAGCGTTACGTTTGTGGGCCGCATACCGTGGAACCAAAAATCGGCCACGATGGCCAGCGGGACCGTCAACGACAGACCGACTGTAGCCACCGTGGGCGACGTTAGCAGCACTGCACGCGCCCAGAGGTAGTCCGACAACACGTTGTCGAATAGCCCCTTTAAGCCGATGAGGACCAGAATTTCCAATGATAACCCGCTTAGTGACTCAATGCCTGAGTAGTGGAAGGCCAGCACGATTGGCAGCAGACACACCATGTTGATAGCGCCGATAAACCCAAAAAACAGCGAGATGCTCACGCTCTCTTCGTCCGGGATCAGGCGGCGGATCGTCGTGGTGTACACGCCATACATGAAGGCCGCAAAAAGTGCCACCAGGTCTCCAAACACGTGATCGGTGCCGCCATCGGCTCCTTCATCGTTGAAGATCGTCGAGATGTTGCCGGCCATGCAGAGGATGACACCCGCCAGTTTCATCCATACAAAAGGTTCCTTAAGTGCCACAACGCTCAATAGAAACGTAAACACCGTGGATGTGGAGCTTACGATGGTACTGCTAGACACGCTGGTGAGATTAAGACTCTCGTTGTACGTGAAGTTGGCAAGGAACCAGAGTGGCGAGATGATGGCGCTGATGCGGAAGATCTGGCTGTAACTGGCCTGCACGCCCGAGCGACGGAGTAGTTCGCCGTGGCTCAGCTTGCCATTTGTGGGTAGGCCTCGAAGCCAGGCCTTGAGCTTTGGGAAGAGCACTTGCGACGTGTACCAGAGCGGTAAATTGACTGAGAAGAGCGAGATACCCACGTACGTGAGGAAGAACGGGCCTTGGAAGCTCAAATTATGGAAAATATACTGCACCAAAACGCTGGCGAAGGTCCAGATGAGCGCCACAATCACGAGAAACGTCACACCCAAAAACCAGTCGAAGGTTGAGTGGCGGCGGTGCGAAATCTTGTGAGTTCCGCTGTGGTTCGCGGCTCCCACAAGCAAGACGTCCGAGCCCATCAGCGCGTCGCGCTCGGACGCCTCACCGTCGGAGGACGTCGTGAGCGTCGGAGATGTGGAGAATGCGCGCTTGGCGCCACGCTCATTCGACTTCGCGGAAGCATCGAGTCCGTAGCTCATGGCGAAAGCGAGAATGTCATCAACAGGCGCAGAAGAGAAATTAGAGAGTGTGGCTCATCACGCTGTTTGTCATAGGTTGGAAACAGGGCCAATTGCTGCCAGCCACAGGGCAACGTCATAGTGTGGACCACGTAGCATATCAAAATTTAGCGGAGCTTTTATTCAGGAGAGAGGGCTTCTATTCGGACACCCGTAAATACTCGACGGTGTCACCACGAAGGTTGGCAGCTGGACCAGAATGGTACGCTTCTAAAGAGGGAATAGTCCATGCATGGCTCAAGAGTCATCCTGCTCAATCCAGATAGCCCGCGTTAGCAGCCGGTATTAATTAAAAGCTTCAGTGTATTTAATAAAATAACAAGCTGTCTACGATTTCTTTCGACGAGTGCATGTATTAAAACGCGTTGCTCGGCTTTTACCACTTCGGACCGAGACAGCTCAAATGTTCCAGCATTGTTTTGCTCTGCACTCAGCCTCCCACCGACAACCACAACAAACTCGCTTGTGGAAAATGTCAATGGCAGTACAAATCCTCGGGCGGCAGAAGTTTTAGAAGAGTGAGCCCGACGTTGAAGTGAGGACCAAAAATTACGCCAAATTGGTCCATTTGGCCCGTCGCTCGTGAATCAGGTCGGAACAGACGCAGACGACAAACCAGCTACTGCATCATTCTCGTTCTCACGTCGCCATGGCTTCTTGCAGCGTCGCGCCACCTAGTGGCAGCAGCACCAGCAGCACCAGCAGCACTAGCTCGGCACTAATCGTGCAGCCAACCGCTGGTGTTCTAAGTGTGGATGTATTGGGTGCTCGCAACCTTCCGCCTGCTGTGCTGGGTAGTCTGCTCAAGTGGACGCCAAGCTACTCTAACCCATACGTTGTGCTATCGTTGGATCGCGGACGCTTCGTGTCCAGCGTCAAACATCGCGACCTCAATCCAAGCTGGAAAGAAACAGGAAGACTCAACGTCCCGCTACCGTCCGAGACTGAAGTGCTTCAGACCGTTGGCATCCCAGGCGGTCGAACTGCAGATGCAGGAGACAAAATCAGCGGCAAAGGCAAGGCCAAAGGCGGCAAACTAGTTACCAAAAAGGTCGGAGCAGCGGCTGCAGCAACTGACGCAGCCATGGGCTATCGCCAGTACTTCCCGTGCGCGCCGGAGCTCTACGTGCAGGTTTTCCATCGCGCCGATGAGTCCAAAGATGCTGCACCAGCATCCAACTCGTCGAGCATATCGAATGTATCAGCGCTAGGACCGGACGATAAACTGATTGGAGCTGTGGTGGTGCCGCTGTTGCCGTGTCTCATGTCTAGTGCCTCGAGTTCTCGTGGATGGTATCAACTCACTGACGAGGAATCGCAAAGTGCGGGACAACTGCAACTAGCTTTGAATTTCGACGTTTCCGCTGCGTCGAGTGAGTTAGAGCCTCAAAAAGGAGATATTATCCGCCTCACTGGCTTCGGAGGACTCGAATACTACTCGAAAATCCTGCCGCCGGGCGCGAGATTGGAGGTGCTTGACAATTTCCAAGACCAGGTATTTGCTCAGACACGCAGTCTGGAAGGGTGGCCGCTGAGCTTCGAGCTGCACCGCAACTTGGTGCATGTGGAGCGTCGCCCGTCACTCCTCAATGACGCCTCGGAGCAGCTACACAACCAAGTGACAAGAGTTCGTCAGTTCCGTGTTGTTACAGGCGCACAACGAGTGTGGCGCGCTCTCCCGGACACTCCACGAGTTCAATTTGAGAACTCTGCAGCGTTCGTAGCGTTCTTTGGAGCCCAAGCGTACTCGACTATGATGCGTAGTGTTCGTGAGTTACTGCGCTCTGGTGTTTCCTCGGGTGTCCAGACTTTTGTGGCGAGCTCCAAGGACGCGTATGGCCAAGTGAGACACGAGTTTGTGCGGGTGTACTGGAGTGCACCGAGACGTCTAACAAACGGGAACATCGACGGTGGCTACGATGACGATCTAATTGACTGTGGACCGCGCACTAATCGTGGACATATTGTGCGTGCTTTCACTGCTGCTGACCGCTTGTCTGTGGACTACGAGGACGCCGAGGAGGAAATGATGATGCACTGGGACACATACGAAGACAGCGAGGACTACGAAGGAGAGGACGAAGGCGAGGCTGCTGTTCCTGAGCAGCTTATTTGTCCAATCACAGGCTGTCCGATGCTGGATCCTGTTGTCGCTGCGGATGGCCACAGCTACGAACGTGAAGCCATTATGCAGTGGTTCACGTCTAGCGATATCTCCCCCATGACGGGCATGCACATGCCCACGACCCAAGTGTTCCCAAACTTCACGTTGCGCCAACTGTCCGAGGAAGTGCAGGCCGCAGCGGGACGTCGTCAACAAGCCAAAAGACGACGTCGTCGTCAGAATGCAACACTTGGTCAAGTAATCGAGGAAACCTCGCAAGTCGAGAATGATCTCGAAGATAAAGCGGCGTCCAGTGAAGGAAGTCAGGAATGAGTGCGACAGGCGAACTCGCGTAAGTAGGGTTTGATATGTAGGGTTTTGAGAAGTATGTGTCTCCAGTATGTTTGGAATTATGAGGTCGCAGGAATACGTAGACACACAAGACGACACTGGACATTGAGAAATAAAAGAATGGAAGCTTCAGATAGAAGCACATTCAACACTCTCGCGTAGATTTGCTCTTTGCCTTTTCGTTGTCCCACATACATGTACTCAGCACTCAAAGCCCCTTGGCATCGTTTTCTTCCGACTTTTTGATGATTGCACGCAACGTCTCGAGCGCACTAACATGCAGCCGTGTGCCCGGACCGAAAATGGCGCCTACACCTGCATCGTACAGGAGCTGGCCTTAGGCGGGATGACCCCTCCACAGATCACCAGAATATGCTCAGCGTTTTCCTTCTTCAAAACTTTGACCAGTGCCGGCACCAGCGTGTTGTGGCCGGCCTCAAGGGAGCTCACGCTGATACAGTGAACGTCGGCATCCACGGCTTGTCGCGCACTTTCTTCCGGCGTAATGGATAGTGTAAAACAAAATTATAGCGCCTACAACTAATAAAACACAAGAGTTGAGCAGCGACGTATCGAAAAGAGAGGCCCAACATCGACATCAAAGCCCATATCTGAATACCCGGAGGCAATAACCTTAGCTCCACGGTCGTGGCCGTCCTGGCCTATCTTGGCGACCAGCATACGCGGCCGACGACCGAAACGCTCGGCAAACGCTTCAATCTTTTTGACGACAGCGTTGTACACGGCTTCAGCCTCGTCGTTGTGTTTGTACTCGTTACGATACGCACCAGATACGACGGAGCTCTTCGAGACATGTCGACCCCAAACGTCGTCAAGGGCCTCCGAGATTTCCCCCACAGTGCAGCGTGCACGTGCCGCGCTCACAGATAAATTGAGCAGGTACATCGGGCGTGTGCCCGGTCCTGTACTCTCCGTCAGTGCCGCCGAGTCGCGTAGCTTTTGAAGACACGCTTGAGCTGCAGCCTCGTCTTGACATCCTTAATACGGGCGATCTGTTCCTACGTACCGCCGTGTTATCGATCGTGAGCACGTCCACCGTGTCCGGATTCTCCACCACGTACTTGTTCACACCAACAATTGTCTCTTCACGGGAATCTACACGCGCCTGCTTCTTGGTGGCACTCTCTTCGATTCTCAACTTGGCCATCGCGGACTCAATAGCCTTGGCCATTCCTCCCAGCTCCTCCACTTCATTAATCATTTCCAACGCTGCATCGTACAGTTCCTGCATAAGTGTTTCCATCAGATACGATCCACCCCACGGGTCGGCCACACGCGGAATGCTAGTCTCCTCCAGAAGCACCAGCTGCGTGTTACGGGCCAAGCGAGCACTGAATTCCGTAGGTAGCCCCAATGCCTCATCCAGAGCATTCGTGTGTAGACTCTGCGTGCCGCCCATGACAGCAGCCATAGCCTCCACTGTCGTCCGCATGATTTTGTTGTATGGATCCTGCTCTGTCAGCGAGTATCCCGACGTCTGACAGTGAGTTCGTAGCAGCAAACTCTTGCCATTCTTCGGTTAAAATTTGTCTTTCATCAAAGTGGCCCACAGTTTCCTTGCTGCTCGTAGTTTGGCCACTTCCATGTAAAAGCTCATGCCAAAAGCGAAGAAGAATGATAGTCGTGAGCCACAGCGTCTACGTCGAGGCCAGCCGCTTGTGCTGCTCGGACATACTCAATGCCGTCAGCTACGGTAAAGGCCAACTCCAGCCGGGCGTCTGCTTGTGCTTCTTGCATGTGATATCCTGAGATCGAAATGGAGTTGTACTTTGGCATATACTCGGACGTGTAGCCGAAGATATCCTGAATGATCCTCATGCTCGGGCCAGGAATGTGTTGCGCACCATAAACTCCTTCAAAATGTCGTTCTGGATGGTGCCAGACAGCAGTTTCTGGTCCACTTGTTGCTCCTCGGCCGTCACAATGTACATGACCAGAATGGGCAACACGGCTCCGTTCCAAGGTGTATGGAACGTGGTTCAAATGGCCTTCTATTTGGGTATGTTTTTTATCCTATAGAAGCCTTACTATGATACGCTATTAAACGGTTCTCAGGGTTTGCCTTTAGTTAAATTTGTTCCTCCGTCCGCTGAAGATACTCTTCGAATGCGCTTCGGTGGGTCATCCTGTTTGTATTGTCGAATATATATGTTGCATTATTGCAGCCAGTTTCTTGGCTGCTGTGAATGCCGCTAGCTTCGGTTTTCTCCACTGTATCCTGAAGAATGAGGCTAGTGCACTGAGATTACGGCAGTCGTTGTAGTCGGCCTTATCTTCTGAGTCTTTTCTGAGCATGCTGGAGGGTCGTGAATTGATGATATCAATCAATAGTGTGACGGGGTCACACAGCACCTTGCGCTAGAGGAAGTTATCTTCCGAGAGTATACAAACTCTCAGTGAACGGCAGTTCACAGGTCCCCTCTTTAATTAAAGAGAGCGAAGTGACCTAAATAAGGTAGATTGTAAACTGAGTATATTTATAGGTAGGATAAGTTCGGGTTTAATACAAACTATTGGTTACCTATAGAAATGCAATGTCATTTAACCAATGGTTGGCTTTGAACGACTTTGGTACCTTGTACCAAATATCCCGGAATATGACGTGTCATACTCCTGAAGTGTGAAGTGTCACACTTCATGTAACCAGGGTACACTTAGGGCTACGTATCCCGTTACAAATAGGATAATTCTCTGAGGCTCATCTTGACGACAAATGGCTTGTCCTGCCTGTTCGAGGACGAGTAGATCAAGTTTTGAGCGGGATTGCTGATGGTTAAATGTGTTGCTACCAGCTACATGGAGCTTCCACACGTCTTCTCTTTCTAAATGGTATACTAGCCATCCTCCTTGGGACTCTTTTCCGGGAGGATTTCTCGCGTAGTAACAGATTAGCCAGTGTGTATTCCAAAGTGGAGCGGAGCGGAGGAAGGGAATTGTGTTTTCCACACGAGATTATCCGTGACCGGTACTACCGGTGTAGTACCGGAACGTGTACTCCCCGAAAGCTGCCAACCACACACGTGGCCTCCACTCCTCACTTTGCATTTGGAGAGAAAGAGATACGAACAAGAAAGAAGGGGGTTCATCCTACACCATGTCTTCCAGCGCACCCAACTCGCCATCGTCCAGGGCCACCACGGCCCCGTCGGACAGCGCCTCTACCGTCCCAGCAGCCGACGTCGTCGTCGACGTCACTGGTGGAGAGGAGACGTGGACCAATACATCCGCCCGCAGCACCTCGAACCCTCCGCCGATTCACACGAGCAAGCGAGCTGCCGCCCGCAACGTTTCCTCTCCAGCGCCGGCCGAGGCCCGCAAAGGATAGAAGAAGGCGCCCAAGCGCACGACCCCGTCGCCTGCAGCTACTACCAGTCGAGCGAAGAGTGACGAAGCCACTGAAGACGGGTCCGACCACGGCCTGGAGGACAAGGCGGCGACTCCTAAGCCTAAGAGGGCGAAGAAGTCAGCAGGGGGTACTGTCCCGATCGTGCAGCTCCCCCCACCAGTTGTACAACCTCCTACACCGGCTGCTCCTGAGATTCGCCCGAGCTCCCGGAAAGACTTCGACCTGTCCACATTTATGGCGTCGTTTGAGCCCGGTCGCGGTGTGGCATTGGCCGAGGGTCCTGCTGACCATCCTTCTCATCCAGAGCCTGACCCAACACCCATCGTACCGCAGCCTGCAGCACCAGTGGACCTGTTGCGCGAGCTTCGTTCCTTACGCGATGAGGTTGCACGCTTGCGGCAGCTCCGCGGTAGCGAAAGTACTCAATGGGGTGGGGTATCCGCAGGCACAATCGTCACGGCTCCGAACTCGAAAGGAGAGCTGCCTCCTTCTGAAGTCTGTTACCTGACCAGCGCAAGCTTCCCAGAAGGCTCAAAGAAGGCGAAGGGCGACTACAATCCTCCGCAAGCCCACATGTTGGCCGCAAGTCGAATGTTCCGTGACTTCGGTACGGAGACAGGTAAGGTTATATCTGCTATGTCTTTTGTTCTGCGTGTTCGGGAGCTGGACTGCGTGAGGTTCCAAGTGACACCCGCCGTCCTGATGGCAGTCTTCAGCGGGCGTTTAGGATCCCGTGGCCTAACAGTGATGCACTTCAAGGAGAGCAGCGAAATTGCGTGCCTAGAAGACGGCTCGACGAGCGCCAACTTCTCAAGCGACTTTAGTCCTTCAGCAACGCTCCCTCCGGCCTCTATTACGTGCTCTTCCTACGAAGATATCCTTGACGCCATCCACGGCTTGAACGCACTGGGCCAGGAGGTCTGGGACGACCACATGCGCAAGCTGACGTCGAGGTTGCGGGCGTTTGTGTCGAAGAACAAGCAAGCTGATCCCGCCAACACTCCTGGTCGCGTTCGTTTGACACTGATGTACGCGAACAAGTTCATCGGGACGGCACTGGGGTATCTTCAAGTGGATGATGCGTCGTGGTGGATGGGATTCTGTGAGGCGCTGCGAGGCATCGACTACCAGTCGCCGCTGTGATGGCCCTCCTCAGTTTTCTCAGCCAACCAGCAGACAACGACGGGAGAGTTGCCCGTGACTCCGGCGGACGCCAGCGCCGCGACGAAGCTAGAAGACCTGCGATTCCTGACGGCGTCCGACGTCTTATCCCGCTTAACCGGCGTGGTCAAGAACCGTGTTTGCTGAATGTGGCAGGTCTCCCTTGTTCTGGAGGCACCCGCGATCGTTGCGGCAACCCTAAGCGAGCACACAGCTGGTGGGACCGCCTGCCTCCGCGAGTACAGCAGTGGGTCGACGAGACGTACGGGTCGCGCCGCGCGAATCCAGGCGAGCGTCGATGATGGGGCCATGAGGAATGCAGCTCGGCATCCTTTCGGTACGAGAGCCACCTAATGCAGGATAATAGATCAAGTTCTGCAGAAACAATGGTTGAGAGCAAGTTTAGTGAGGCGTCAACGCAAAAGCCACTTCCTCGGCACGAGAAGCGCGGGGAGGCGGATAGGGTGGGAGCGAAGCGGTGGGGGAGCGATTTCGCGCGGGAGCGGGAAATTAGCGTGTTTGAGGGTCATTTTGCCTATCAAAACCCACCGCAAGTGGCCTCCGAGCCCGGTCCGCAGCCTCCGCTTTCCGTTGCGACTGATGGCTCGTCACAAGCGAGGCGGCCCTTACGGATATACATCCCTCTCCGACTATACAGTCTGATTCGTCTAGACAGTCGGCCATAGCCATACAGCGCCCTTTGACTATACAGTCACCTATTGCTATACAGCACCCGATGACTATACAGTCTGGGCCGACTATACATGTACAGTCATCCACAGCTATACAGCACCCTGCGACTATACAGTCTGGGTCGACTATACAGTCATCCACAGCTATACAGCCCTCTTCGACTATACAGTCCGGACCGACTACACCGTCACCCACGGTTATACTGACTCTTCTGACTATGCATTCGCGCACCCACCCGCAGGGTTTGATTGGTATACACTCAGATCGCTCTAGCAGTGTTGTGGAAGTACGTACTAGTACCACCGAGAGGCCGGTCGACCGAGAAGGGACTCGCACGATTCGCCCTGTAATATCAAGTCAAAGAGCAAGTGAGACGCATGACAACGCAAGGATACGTCGAGACCTGCACAAACAAGTTCGGCATGCCAAGCTTACCAAGGTTATGGCCAGTTTTAACATCGAGATGCCCCAACAACACTACCCTGCGATGCACGAAAGCGCAGAAGGCCCGGTTTACCTGCTTAACCAACCATTGCAGCACGCTCTATCGGACCTTGCACGCCGGTCGGCGCTCCCGCTACCTGCATTCGTAGAGTTAATTCGAGGCCAAACAGTGGAGGACTATCGCCCAAACAAGAACATCGTTCCGGCGGTCCTAAACAAATTGTGTGAAGGTTACGAGCACTTAAATCAACGTTACAAGATTGCTTGTGAAGGAGTCGAAGTCAAGTTAAGGGCGGCTCCACCCAGACAAGTGGTTCGGCCACCAAATCATGGCTCTGCTCAAGAACGCGTCAGCATATTGCGCAAGAATATCCGGAAAGAGCAAGACGCCTGGAGATGCCTGGTTCTTGACATTGATCTGCTTGAGCAGTGGCCCGAAGTAATTATAAGTCCGTTCGGCGTCGTCGACAAGGGAAGCGAAGATGCCAACGCGTCGGGTCGCACAATCCACGACTTATCCTACCCGGATGGTACTTCGATCAACGACTGCACGGACCAAAACCGCATTACTAAACCGGACTACGCCCACTGCGATGCCGTAGCGCGAGAAATTTTGAAAAGGAAAGACGATTTCCAAGTGCGGCTGTCCGTGTAATGGCAGGTGACGTGGCATCTGCCTTCCGCCACATCAGCATCCACAGCAACAGTGTGTACTTGTTTGCCGGTCTTATCAAAGAAGAAAACGTATTGATCGTCGAGTTATCAGCACCTTTCGGATGGACGGGGTCTCCCGGCTATTACGAGATATTTGGCGGAGCGATCTCTCATGTTCACGGCGGTCATTCGAATGCAGTTTTTCCTGGTGGCTTCTTAACTATCACTGGGTAGACGATCACATTAACGTGGCTGCCGACATTGACACCACTTGCGTTGACATGGATCGTTCTCTCCGTTTTTCCATGGTTGCCGTCCTGGGTGTCGATGCTATCAGCACTGAGAAGTTTACTCCCTGGAAGACGCGCCAGCGAGTCCTAGGACTCGAGCTCGATACAATCGCAGAAATTGTTGCCATGCCTTCAGCCAAAATCGACAAAGCCCGCAAAATCGTAGCTTCCGCCTACGTCGCAAGTTCACTCACCCGCAAGGGGTACCGGTCCCTGCTCGGAAGTCTACGCCATGTGGCAACATGTATTCGGGCCGCTAGACCATTTTTACAGCGCCTACGGGTCCGCGAGGCTCGGCTCAACCGCTTCCAGAGCGTCCCCGTGACTGCTACAATGAAGGATGACCTACTGTGGTGGTGGATGATTTTGCACACCCCTCGCCTGAACGTCGTTTCGCTAGCGTATTTCAACGCACTTCCGCCTCCGGACATCGTGGTTGAAACGGATGCTTAAGATTTCGGTCTCTGCGCACTTGACATATCCGCGAAGGAGGCACTGACGTACCAATTCACTCCGTCCGAGCGTGATCTCATAGCGGCGTTCAACAACGGAGAGACCAACTGTTTTGACATCAACTTCCGCGAGCTTTTCTCGTGTGCTTTCGCTGTGCATACATTGGGCGCAAGGTGGGCTTCAAACGCTCGCATTACTGGGAGGCCGCGGCACGTACTCTTCCGCATCGACAACACATCTGCCGTCGCGTGGCAGAACAAATTGGCATCTCGCAATCCCAGGGCTCAAGTTCTAATTCGCCTGCTAAGTTGGTGGGAATCAATTTTCGACTCCGGTTCTCTGCGTCCCACATACCCGGCGCAGACAACGTCCGAGCAGATGCTGGCTCCCGGCTTACCGCTAACGCGTCGTTTGTGGATCTCTTACAGCGGTTCTTCAAAGCGTACGACACTTTTTCGCCGCTTTCGGTTACGACTTCCCGATCGCACACCCAGACATCCGCATGCTTCTCAAAGGTATCAGCCGTCTCGATACACCGCGGCTTCGTAAGGAACCGGTTTCACTCGACATTCTGGAAGCCTGCTTTCGCAGCTTGACGATGGCTACACCACGTGAGCAAGCTTTATGGGGGGTGATGTGCTTGGCGTACTTCTTCCTCCTACGTCGATCGGAGATCGTGTCAATCCGAGGAGGTTCTTTCAAGTGGTTTGCACTTCGAGCTGAATACATTATAACTGTCGATGCGACGGGCAGGCCAACCCAGGATCCATCGCAAGCTCAAGGTGTGTGGATACGGTTGATCGGTTCGAAGACAAACCAAGGCGGAACCCCTACGACAAGAATGCTCTCACGCTCTGGCCATCACTTCCTTTGCCCTGTTTTCGGAGCTCTTGTACTTCTTCAAGCAAGGAAAGGTCTCCCGGCTAGCATTCCAGCCGCGGTGTTCATAGTCCCAGCCTGAGTTTCAGCTGAAGATTTGTCCCAAGCTATAAAGCGTGCTGCCGTCCGCACCAGCAAGAACCCTCGCCACTTTAGTACACACTCCCTTCGCGCAGGCGGGGCGACCCATATGTACCGCTCCGGCGTGGATGCACTGACGATTCAGTTTCACGGCCGATGGGTATCTGACGCGTACAAGACCTACACTCGACTCTGCAAGGAGTCCGTCACTGCGCTGTCAGCAAATATGGTGGCTGGACAAAGGGGGGACACAACACTGCATTAGTGAGGGTGACTGCATGACCATTAATGGGGGCACCGCTCTTCTCGTCCCTTTTCGGATCGAGCTGATGGTCATTGCATAAGCTCTCATTAATGTACCTGTTTGTTTGACCCCTAAGTGTGTGGAAGTGGAATACCGTCGAAAATGATCTTCATGTCTTCTATTGAGCCAATCGGGACGCCAGCCATGCCCACGTCGCCGTGGACACGCGGATGGTCCAAGTCGTAGCTTCTGTGTGTGGCCATGTCGAAGGCCACGCTGAGGCCTTGTTGGCCAGCGGCCAGGTTCTTCCTGTAGAGGGCATTAGACTCTTCGGCCATGCTGAAGCCTACGTACTGTCGCACTGTCCAAGGTTTGGCCGTGTACATGGAGGCGTACGGCCCACGTGTGAAGGGAAACACTCCGAGTGCCTGTACCAAATCAAGGTCATTCAGGTCCCCCTGAGTGTACAGAGGCTTGATGGGGATACCCTCGGGTATATTCCAGACTAAGTGCGTCCTTGGATCCTTTCCTTTAAGCTCCTTGGTGGCCATCTTGATTCACTGAGGTGGGTACGCAGACTCGTCCATCTTGGTGTTCAACGTGCGTAGTAGAGGCAGGCGGGAGGTGCGACGAGCCCCGCGCAGACCCATGGAGCTAGCTGCCCACACGCCACATGACCCTTTGTGTTCGTTTTCGAAATTGCGGATCAAGCCCTTCAAGGTCGCCTAACAAAAACGAGACCTTTCTTCAAGTTGGCAAATCGTTGAATTGCAAATTTCGGGCAAATCGAACATGTTGTAATACCGGTAAATCGGGACATGGATATATTTACCTCCCTTACCTAATAGGGTTGTCAGAGTTGGATACAAGCGGTGACTCCACGAATCCTTTATTGACCAATCATCATACAGAATTTTAGGCTAGATTGGTGTGCGCCACATCTCTTGGATTTTGAGAGCAGGGTTCGGTAGTAGTGGGAATTCTGATTAGTAGTGATAGTGACTAGCCGAGTGCCGCCGCTACGCGGCGGGTAAGAATGAATGTCGTTCCTTGTGTTTTGCCTCCATTCCCCTCCCCACGGGTTCGCTTCACTACTCGCACGGTAGGTTGGCAGATGGTGGCTCAGGCGGGCCCAAATGCCCGCAGCCGCCTCGCTGCGCTCGGCAGCTTTTAGGCCAATCGGGGCCACCTTCGCTGCGCTCGGCAGCCAGTAGAAATATTTAAATTATTTTATCCAATGATTTGTCCGGAAAAGCGTGACAGGCACGACAATTTAGTGTGACGGACAGACAGGTTGCTGCATTTGATGCTTAAGACTAGCCGTTCGCCGCCGCTACGCGGCGGTGTGGCATGGTTTGTTGGAGATAAGGTGGCCGCAATTTTAAGTACTTCGTGTGTTCTGTGCTTTCAGTCTGATCTTGTACCCCGAGGCTTCGGCCATCCCCGTGCGATGTTGTGCTTAAAGCACCTGTCATTTCGTAGTCTCATGTTGCGGTGTACGATATCGTTAATTCATACGCTTCCGTTGCTCCGTACTATTGGTTGGCGTCTATGTTCTTCTGTGGATCGTGCCCTTTTCCGTTAATGCGCTCTCTCTTTTGGGCTCATGTTTTTCAGTAGTACGACACCCTTTCGTGGCTGCTAGTTGTTCCGTGTTCCCAAGGTCTTGAGTGGGTTTTACAGGTTTTGTGAATATTCATTCATGGTCCATGGCGTCTCATCGACGGTACCCTCGCCGACGGGTGCTATTCCGTAGTTATATGGATCCGTCCCCCGTGTAACGTGCTCTCCTGGTGTGGCTTCATCGACCGCGTTATCGCGCTATCATACGATCGCAGTATAAATTTGCTATCCTATGCTTTCGTGCTCGCGTAGTGCATCTGTGTTTCCCGTGTTATAATATTCTACAATGGCATACTGATCCACGTTGTGCAATCGTGATATCCCGAAGCGCTCCCCGGTGCTTCCATGGCTGATCTTCCGCCCGTGCAATCGTTCTATCGCCTTCTGTGGCTCCGCGATTTCGCGTCTATAGCTCAAGAGGCTGCGTGTTCTCTCACGGTTTAGTGGCTGGGCCACCGTCCGTGCTATCGTGTTATCTCGCGGTATCGCGGTTGGTCTGTCGTCCGAGCTATCGTGAGCTACCGTAATATTGTGCTCCGTGGCTTGGCTCTACCCTGGCATCGTGCTCCAATGCTCGGTGATTTCCCCCTTATGCTCTCCCGTGGCTTCGTGTTAGGTTCATCGTCTGTGCTTCATGTTCTACCGTGGTGCTATGGGAGAATTGCTTTCCGTGCACCTTACTGTTTTCGTGGCCCGTGTTTTTCAGCATGTTGGGGTGTCATTACTTCAGTTACTTTCCGTGATCCGTACGCTCCCATCATATTCTTGCCATTCCAAGTTTTCATGGTAGCGTGCACGTCCGTGGTTCGTGCTTTTCAGAATCGCTAACTGCCTTCATTGATTTAGTCCTCTTTCAACGTCCGTGGCCTTCCGTGCTTCGTGTTCTTCCCTCTACCCCATCGTGTACATAGTGTGCCTCGGTGTTCCTCCGTGTTTCGTGTTCTTGTTTATCCACTTGCCTCCGCGCTAATTCAATCGCAAACGCCGTTTCCATTTTGCTTTATGTACGCTATATATCGTGCTGAAAAGTGCGCACAATCTCTTAAGGTCGTACACAACGCACGCAAATACAATGGAATACAATCCCTTTTTTTCGGCGGCGGAGTGGTGTACGCGGTTATGTGGGGTGTGATGGTGGGAAGCCACTATATTCACATTTTTTTTTTAAATTTTTAATATTAGTAATAAATTGTACATTTTTATCTGACGCAAATAAATAATATAGCTTAATTAATTAGTATTAATATATATATTCCAAACGCTGCTTATTTTATAAGTGTAGTACTACTACAAACGTCTGCAAGCAATTATAAGAAATACTTTCGAATAGTACTACGCAAAACAGTATTGTAAGTTAAATTACTACAAAAGTACTACGATGCCAGAACAAATCATATTATAGCCAGTAAGTACTAAAATTTCGATTGAGGACGAAATATGCGTCACCAAAGCCTACAAACTTTTTCAACAGCTCCTACAACGATACAGTACGTTTGTGCTCATCGGCGCCTTTTAAATATGCTAACTAACGCGTACACAGGCAGCGCCCTTTGCGTGACCTTGCATACCGCAGCTAAAAATGAGAGCAAAATGAAATTTAAGCGGTGTGTTTAAGTACGATGTGTAGTCCACATACAGTGTGTACAAACACAATCTAGATTTTAGCCAATGGAGGCTGCCTTCGCAGCGCTCGGCAGCTTTTTAGCGAATCGAGGCCGCCTTCGCTGCACTCGGCAGCCAGTAGAACGCGCGTATTAGCGTGAGTTTTATTAGACCTAACCCGTTACGGACGTTACAGACGGACAACACACTCCACTAGAGGGGTAAGACTAGCCGTTCGCCGCCGCTACGCGGCGGAGTGGCATGGTTTGTTGTAGATGTGGTGGCCACGAATTTAAGTGCTTCGTATACTTAGCGATTTACCTTTCCGAGTCTCATCCGGCCCCGTATAATATCGTGGTTTCGAACGTTTTGGTTATCCTGTAGTACAGGCTGGATGTCATGTTCTTTAAATGGTCTGCGCTGTTCCGAGCTCTTCCTGGCTTCGTAGTTCCCTGCACACCCGTGCTTAGTGGTTATGGGCCCTCTCTCTTGGGCTCATGCTCTTTAGTACGGCCTTTTCGTAGCTACTAGCTTTTTCTTTGCTCTCAACCATTTACGTGGGCTGTACCGCTTTCGTGATACATAGGCATTCGTGGCCGTTGGCCTCCCATCACCGGTACTCTAACCAAAGGGTGCTATTCCGTGCTTTGGTGCCTCCATGCAGTCGTGTGGCTCCGTCACCCGTGCATCGTGATCTCCTGATGAAGTGTTGAGCAAGAGCACGAAGCACGAAGGAACATCGACCCACACTATGTAGACGATGGGATAGAAGAGCAACACGAAGCCCGGAAGGCCATGGACGATGATAGACGACTTAGCCGATGCAAACCACGAAGTTTTATAAGTAGCGTGAAAGACGGAAGAGCACACAGCCATGCAAAGGACAGAAGGACAAGAATATGACGGGAGCGTACGGGCCACGGAAGGGAGCTAATATATAGACACCATAGCATGCTGAAAAGCACAGCTACGGAAGAGCACGCACGCTCGAAGCCACGGTAGAGAACATAGCGGTGAGAGTGCACGGACAGCAATTCTCTCATAGCACCACGGTAGAACACGGAGCACAAACATGAAGTCGCAGTAGACCACAAACGAAAAATCACTGACATTGGAGTACGATACATGGGTGGAACCGGAGGTCACCGAGTCCGGCAGCACGATACTATGGTGGCTAACGATCTCACGGACGACAGACCAACCGCTACACCACGCTATAACACTATAGCATGGACGGTAGATTAACCACTAAACCATCGTAGAACACGCAGTCATGCGAAATCACCGAGCCACGGAGCACGATACCAGTGTAGAACCTCAGATCACCGAGCCACAGAGGACGATACTAGATTACAGCACGATCGCAAAGACGGCAGACCATTTACGAGACTACGGAGAACACACTAGCGTGGACAATGGCCCAATTACTAAATCATGGAAAACAAAGCAGCCACAGAGCTATATACGGTATCACCGAGCCACGGAGCACGATACCAGTGTAGAGCCTGAGCTTACCGAGTCACGTACATTAGAACTCGATTGCACGGTCGGCGGACCAGCTACAAAATACACGGGGGGGGGCTCTTGGGGTGACCACGATTGCAAACTGTGGTGCACGATGCCATCGTAGAGCCCGAATACACGGGCAACGCAGATGCACTACGCGAGCAGAACACCATAGACACCGCGATTGCACGATAGCGTGATACATCGGTCGATGCGGGCCTCCGCGCGAGCTTAAACACAATAGCTGCTCCCATTTTGTTTGATGTACGCTACATATATTGTTGGAAAGTTCGCACAATATCTTAAGGTCGCACACTACGCGCGCAAATACAAAGGAAGATGACACTTTATCCCGGAGGTAGTGTGGGGTGCAGGGCACGATAATCTATTTTTCAAGTATTCCCATTTTTATTTATAGTAATAAAATTGTGATTTATTATCGAACGCTGATATAATAATTATGTGTACTACTACTACAAATAGCTGCAAGGAAAAATATGAAATGTCTTGATAATAGTACTACTCAAAACAGTTTTGTAAGTTTAATTTTTAGAAAAGTACTACGAAGCCTAAAACATCATTCTAAAACTAATAGGTACTAAAGCTTCGATTGAGGCCGAAATATGTGTCACCAGAGCCTACAATTTTTTTCGACAGCTCCTACGACGATATAGTACGTATGTGCTCATCGGCGCCTTTTAATTATGTTAACTAACGCGTACACAGGCAGCGCCCTTTGCGTGACCTTGCATACCGCAGCTAAAAATGAGAGCAAAATGAAATTTAAGCGGTGTGTTTAAGTACGATGTGTAGTCCACAT